TCTAGTATAGGTACTCCAATTAGGTAGAAAAGATGGTATTGTATGTTAATTAAAATTTAAAAAAATCATTTTCAATGTCTCTAAAAAATAAAAACAATGGAAAAAATTAAATATTCCCAAACATCATATTTGAAATGTAAATTACAGAATTTGTAAAGAATACATTTAATCATTTAATTGAAAAGCCAGGATGTAAAGGCCATATAATATCGTTTTTTTTTATGGAAAAGTAATTATTAGTTATACGTAGGTAGGTACCAAGACCAAGGATATAACTAGCCTTCCATCTTGAACGCCATTTTATTTCGAAATAACAGTCGCCAAGACTGCCAAATTAATGAAACATGTATAGGCGTTATTTAAAAAAAATACATTTTCATGGTAAGTATTCGACATAAAATGGACCTTTTTTAGGATAAAATATTTAAATTTAATTCATTAATCATAATTTCATATGTAGAATATCTACGTCGTGAAAAATTAATCACTTTCAATTTTGTACTATTTTGGTTTATTTCAAATTGTAATATAAACATGCAGACAATGTGGTTGACTTTTTAGGGTGACAGCCGCCTAAACCGGAAAAATCTATCCAATTAACACTTTATGCCAAAACAAAATCTCACATATGTAATACTAATATAGGTTAAATTTTAGATTTTTTATTTGACCTCTACTGGTATTTAGTAAGAACATTTCACACAAAGTTGGATTTCATTACATAACTGTTTTTGCCAAAATTAATTAGAAAAAAGAAATAAATAACAACCATATACTTGTAATACATCATTGCAAAGCTAGTAAAAAATGCTTTTAAAAGTTATAACCTATACTTTATACACAGTGCTTCAATAGTAAATAATAATTGAATACATATTTAAAAATAAGAAGTCGAGTTTATTTGAATGAACTATTTTTAAGTCTCTAATCCTATACAAAATAAATTGGTTTAATTATTAGGTTTTATTTTTCTAATATCATCTACAGTTCATGAGATATAGCCATTGTAAGTTATTAAACTGTTATCCTGTATATAATAAATTATTGTAATTATCGGATTTATATTAAAATATCTTCCCCTAAAACCATCTATTAATTCAATGATCTTGTGATCTTAAACAACCTTCGTTTTTCTGTGAGCTGTCATGCATTCATTATAGTGTTATTTTGAATTAAATGTCAAATGTAAAAGAAATAAATAATTTTATTAGGAAAGTATTTGTTTACGTCTGTACAAATTTAGATTACACTTATAAAATAAATGAAATAAACACAGTTCATTGTATATACATGATTACTATTTAATGTCAAATTTTTGTATATTTTCACACAATTAACTTAGTATTAAAGCATCATTGTTTCTCGCCCATTACTTTAGTTTTTAAATACTGTTCATCTACTATTTTCATTTAATTCTGTATCAAGTTTAATCAGCATGTTTTTTACCGGCCTATGATGATGGTCATTGACCAAAACTAGTCGCACTTTACCCCTGTTAAATAATTTTTTTTCCTTTTTCCTTTCCTTTACCAATATTAGTTTGAACCAACTGACGACATTAAGTCACGTGGGATACAAATATTGTTGAAGACTATGGCGGAAGAGGGCGCCAGCCCTAGTAATTAGGTTGTTTTTCTCTTTGTGCATGTAAAAACCCAAAAAAAATGTACAACTAAAGTTCATTGATATTCAAAACTTGACATAAACAGAATATCCCTACATAAATATATATATCACAAGATTTTATGGGTTTTACATGATCTGGCAACTACGCGCGGTATCTTTAGTCCTCTAGTCTTCTAATGCTCGATTCCTAGAACAGGCAACATATTGCCAACTCATTAAAATGGTCCTTGTCCGCGACTAATGAAAATGATTTTAGATGGTTTTGCTCTTGAAATTAGTTTTTGATTAGTCATTTAGAAATCGCAAATCGCCACACTTGAAGCACGAAGCAGGCTTTATAAAAACAATGTGTTCTGAACAGTAGTTGATTCTTATAAATACATAAACAAGTGTAATTATTGACCAGGCGCACGTATTATACCTAGGTAGATACCTAAGTAGGTAGATATGTATTTATAATTTATATTAGGAGATAATTGAATGAGAATAGATTTATTTCATTTAGAACTGTTGTGGGTAGGTACCTACTTCGGGTAATATTATATTATTTTTAATTCTATCAAATAGTTTAATAATTAGGTACATAACTTGTTTAAATAAAGAGTGCATATTATATTTTTCCGTCTAGTGGATTTGGTAAATTATAGGTAGCACATGTAAGTAACATAAACCTATTTAATAAAATGTTTTGATTAACCGCATATTAACAATATTTATTAAAGTAATTTTAAAATTGAGTTTGCTGATTTTTCCGTAGATCCCATTATTAGATATCACCCCTAAGGTACACCCTTTCTAACAAAGAAAAAATCATCGAAATCGTCCAACGTGGTAAAGAATTATCGCAGAACTTAAATAAAAAAATATTCTGACGAATTGAGAACATTGAGAATCTCCTCCTTTAATGTCGGTTAAAAATGAATGATTGTTCTCATTTAGTGGTCATAAAATAAATTGATGAGTAAAATATTATTGATTAATATCTATCATTTACCGCCTGTTATAAAAAAATAGAAGTAAATTGAAAATATTTAGAGGTGGCAACCAATCACCGAATTTCAAGGATTCCCTACAAATTTTCTCTTACTTTATTCAATATTACATTTAGTGCGTATATTTCCTTCATACTTTAATTGGGATTAAAAACACAGGGTTGGTATATCAAAGGGTGTTCCAACGCCTTTTATCTTGGACGCCATTTTTATCCGAAATAGTATTCGGCAAGAATGTCAATTTAAGAAAAATGTATCGACATTTCTTTTTTAAATGACATTTGCATGGTGTTCTACATACAATTCATAATATAATCAAATGTAGATTACGTCGTAAAAAATAAATCACTTTCAATTTTGTGCTATTTTACGAGTATGTTCACGCCACTGTTCAGTGTTCATCCCACTTGTTCCACATTGTACCTATAAAGTATATCTGTCTCTGATTTTTTAATTTATTATTGAAGGACAAAAGATTATTATGATGTTCAGCAAACCATTTAAGATAGAATAAAGAGGAGTAGTAGTATTAAGATGTTGAATTTTTTGGTTTGTGAAGGATTGGCATTACTTAGGTTAAACCATGTGATGATATTCACAAGCCTTGATTTTTAAACTGTTCTATATCGCCTTTTGATTAATGTTTACAAACTCGTTCGAGCAATTTATCCAATAATAATTGGCTCCTTTACCCCTTAAGCCTGCTCATGTAAAATATTTAGACTCCTTCGCCTATTTATCTAAAATATTTGGTCCCCTTTAAATATGTCCATGTAAAATTATCTGATGAACCTTAATCAATAGACTTTTATCGTCTGATGCTTACTAAAAAAGTTGATCCAAGGTCTTGTATATCACTAATTTTCATGAAATACATCTCATTAGCCCGACAAGCACCGTATTTATCCGTTATCCTTAAATAAGTACGTCAACATTTTACCCCTAACATTTCTGGGCTGTTTTCAATAACGGTGTTCAATTATTTAAAAAATTAAACACAATTTACAGATTTTATTTTTTTATTTGTTGTTAACCGTAATGTCAATTTATTAAATGTGAAATGTAACTACTCATTGTCTTTTTTTAGATTTTTTAGATTTTTTAGATTTTTTAGATTTTTTAGATTTTTTAGATTTTTTAGATTTTTTAGATTTTTTAGATTTTTTAGATTTTTTAGATTTTTTAGATTTTTTGGATTTTCCGATTTTTCGATTTTCGTTAGTGGGTCGTAGAAAAAATATACTGTACAACTCGAGTGGATTTTCTACACCTCATGGATATTAGCTTATCTACGCATAGACTACTATTGCGTTCAACTAAACGAATATATTTTTTATCCATTCTAGGTAGTGAGACCACTGCAAAAAAATATAATCCCCAATCAGAGTTCATATTCTCATATTCTCACCTTTACAATCAACAGCTGTTGTCTGACAGGTCGTTGGAGTATCTTATATTGGAATGTTTGCAATGTATGGAATGTTAGGAATGATTGGAAAGCGTAAAATGAATTACATAAGAAATGCATGGGCGGATTTTAAGAACATTGATATTAAAGTCGTTAGGATGAACCGAAAATTCTGAAAATAAATAGGGTTCTAAGTAGAAGCTATTATTCAAGAAAATCAAAACCGCAAGTTAATCAGTACTTTCGTTCTAGAGTTATCGCATCAGCATACAGACGACCAGACGAATTTGTTTTGCATTTTCGGAGTTGGAATGATCGGAAACGGAAAAGAAAATATTTTCGTCTGTACGAATGCAATACTGAGGCCCCATAGGAAGGGCCTCAGTAATATTTTAATATTACAGGGTGTACATTTCAATTTTAGTGGATAGTGTAATTCGTTATGCAAAGTAAAATAAGTGTAATTTTTCGTAACACTCAAAAAAGTTGCGGCATAAAACGTTTAAATTCCTATTAAGTAATTTTAAAATTATATTTGTATTTCTAGATCTTCCCGTCGAAGAAAAATTATAACTACTAATAATTATTGAACGTTATTGTTTTATCAAATATCAAAGACATTTTAAATATAAATATAAACTTCTATGAAAGAATAATTAGATATATAACAATACTGAGTTATTTACTAAATCTACTTCAAAAACAATAATTTGTATCAAAACTATAAGAAAGTTTTATTAATTACTGAATAATAATAATAATAATTTTGTAAATTGTTTCCTTATTATAGAACTATGATATTTTTTGTCAAACTGCACACTCTATAATCTCGCCGAGTGATTTATACATATGGATGAGCAACCAACGGAATTATGATGTAAATACATAAATAAGTTAATTTTGTTGGTTAGCTTGATAATAAATTGCTGATCAGTGTTAGTTGTTAAAATTGTTCGTTAAGTTTGCATACTCACTTTCCATTTAAAACTACATCATGTTGTTTGTTATCGTTTTCATCAACTCCATGATTATTTATGTTTTCATTTTCGTCAATGTATTTTATATCTTCCAACTGTATCCTTTCCGTATATCCTCTGTTGTCGGGAGATTCTCTGGGAGACCGGTGGTCCACTTGTTCAGATACTGATAATAGTCCCATCATCACAGAAGTCTTTTAAAATAAATGGTTTTCCGACTTTTATAATCCAACTACATATTAATTTAATATATGGATGTGGATTTTCTGAAATGATTAATCCTGTTTTATATTCTAAATTTGTTTGTTTTTAATTGGTTAGTACGGAAAAAATGTAGAATTTCATTAAATTATACATTTTTGGTCTCAGACGACTGATGGGTTACAAAAAGCTGGTCAAATTCTGTTTTACACACGAAAAACCTTATTGTTAAGTAGTTAATATACTTATAGCTGGGATATAACGATATAAACGCGTATGGATTAGTTTTAGGCGGTTTAAATGAGAAATTCTAATCCGACTTATAAAACTAAACAAAAGTGGGCTTTAATCTAATTCGACGATATAAACACCCAACACCAACGACTATAATAGTCGTTGTTGATAAACACCAACATTAAACTATTCTCCTACATGCGTTATATTTACTTTTTATTTATTTATTTATTTACGAGTCAGAGCCCATTAAAACATGATACAATAATAAAGAATACATACACACAGTCAATTAATAATAATAAAAAAATCCCGCAACATGAACGAGTTAAATAAAACTCGATTTCGTACGTTTTACAATATTTTATTAATTTTGACTAGATTATTATTATAAAATTGTGTTTTGGTAAAACATTACTGACATCTGGACAACCAATATTACAACTTTCTTGTATTGTTAGTTGCATATGCATCATTTTATTGATACATAGAACATAATATGAATTATTTTTTCACAACGGTTGCCTAAATGTCAGTAATTTTTTACCAAAACACAATTTTATAAATAATCTAGTCCAAATTAGAAAAAATATTGACTGTAACACGTTATGAAATGCCCTTGTATACAATTTATTGCATAAAATAAGGCAATTCGCAACTGGTTTAATCAATAGATATACATACATACATTATTAAAAATACGTGTGGCACTCGGGGATTGCCGCGGTAAAGCTATTGCATAGCATTTTTTTATCAACTTATACAATTATATATATTTATTTATTTTATTTATGCAGTATTTTTTTTTATTTTAATTCAAGTTACACTTTTTGAGCGTGGTGACCGATAAGAAAACAATTTTTTTTCTTTTATTGAATAAATGAGAAGTTAATATTGTTTAAAATATTTTTATTATCTTACAATACATGTAGGTTATTCAGGAATTTTTATCATTGAAACTATAGGTTCACTAAAATACGAAACATAAGTTTGAGACTTGATATCCTCTAAATATCTAGAAAATACCGCGTTAATGTTGGTCCCATATTTTGTTGTGGATTCTTGTGGATCATTATTCATTTTCAAATTCAATTATTCCGAAATTGTGTCTAAAAGATATAGAATCAGTTATGAGCAGTTAGCAGCTAGTCTAAACGCATACGTCTAGTCCCACGCACACAAACACCGTGCCGAAGTCTGCCGAACTGAAACGACGTTAGACGATGGGGGGTGTTAGGTTTATTTTCGTTACGGAATTTCTTTTTCGATTTTTTCGATTTTTCGATTTTTCGATTTTTCGATTTTTCGATTTTTCGATTTTTCGATTTTTCGATTTTTCGATTTTCTTTTATTGAATAAATGAGAAGTTAATATTGTTTAACGCCGCACCGCTGTGCCGGTCGGAGTGGGGGGTGTTAGGTTTTTGATTCGGTCACCGCGCTCAAAGCCCGCGATAAAAGCTATGCAATAGCTTAAAAAATTAGGTATTATTTAAACCTCTAGAAGCTGTTTAGTAAATTATGTTGGATAAATGATTAATTCGATTGTAATGCGAGCCATTTTAGACAAGTTCGATAATGCTCTAATCCCTTAAGTCCCTTACTAACTTATTTGCGGCTCTTAACCTATCCGATTATCAAGAATATTCAAATAAATTAATCAACCATCAAAACTTCTAAGGATTTGCTCATTAGTAAAATTCTAGAATTTAGCCGAATCATAATTTATAAAATGATGGGTCTGTAGACGTAAGTTATGGTGGAAGGCCGTGTAGAATGTTCGTTGAAAGTTCTGGTGAATGCGATAACATTTGGGTTCGCCAAATTTTTATATAAAGAGGCTTGCAATGAGTTAGTTGAAGTTGAGACATCGCTGTAAGCAGATTAATATTGTAGTAAAGTAAATGTGATATATAAATTAGTATATGGGTACTTGAGTAATAAATTAATTAAAAAAGTTATTAAATAAATTAGCGTCTTAGTAAAAATAAATTATAAATTAATAAACGCTTTAAAATAAATAAACGTTTACAAGGTTCAGCGGTCAACAGTAAACCATAAAACAGCCCTCAATACCCTCTCAGTGGCATAAAAATAGGGGGAAAATTACCACTAACCCTGGTTAAATTTTTCAAAAATTAATATATGTTACAATATTACTTTGTTAAAAAGTATAATATTGGTCACCAAATTTGAAAATAATATTTATAGGCGTTTTAGTTTTATGGGTTATTTTGAATTTTGATTTCAAACTTTTGAAGGTAGCTAAACCCTTTAAGGGTTCATGGTCCCATAACAAAATTCACCAATTAACGAGAGCTCTCTGGGATAGAGCGTGGTCGATCGATTATACTAACACCCTGTATATGGAGTGATCTACAAAAAATATTTCTAAAGTAGACATTGGAAAAATTCGCGAACATGACTCATGTATCTATCTTTGTTGTAATAATTGCTAAAATTTGACATTGCCTACAAATATGGCAAAGGTAAGTTAGTTATAAGTATTTCTTTCGTTTTCAACTGTCAATGTAAAGCCCAGATAACAGTATAGAGATGATTTCTCACGTTAAATTCCTTTTTTCTACAGTGTGTCTACTTAAGTTGGAACCATATGGAAAACATTTTTATTATTGATTTTAGGAAAAAAAGTTATTCTTGATAAAAAGTCCTCCATGACCCAAAACCTAAAATACAGTCATCACATATCAAATTTTTCAAGCCGTATACGAGGTTTGTCAAAAAATATGAATTTTTGACAAAATCGAAAATTTTCATTAAGAAAAGTTGATTAGAATTGAATATTACATTCAAATATGCAATTACACCGATCTATCTGAAAAAACAGATTTTCTTATTTTTTATAAACTCTACACTCTACACATTGATTGTAAATATCTGAAAACGTTATAAATTACGTTAGCTACTATAAACATGATACGCTTTTCTTTTGTTGATGTTTGTGAAGAATTTAGCAAATTTCTTAATGAATTTTTTCGATTTTGTAAAAAAATAAACGTACTTTACTCTTGAGCAAAATTCATATTTTTTGACAAACCTCGTATACGGCTTGAAAAATTTGATATCTGATGACTGTATTTTAAGTTTTGGGTCATGCAGGACTTTGTATCAAGAATAACTTTTTTTCCTAAAATCAATAATAAAAATGTTTTCCATATGGTTCCAACTTAAGTAGACACACTGTATATAACCTAGATATACAGAGTGTTCTAGAATATGTGGTAAATATCCCGTAATTTTTTTCCTACTCCTCCTTTACCGAGATACGCGCCTATACCGGACGCACCTGGTATAGTTTTTTTTCATAATTTTTTAAGTACTTGGTGTAATTTAATAATTGTCTAATATGATGGGCCAACAACTCAATTCTTAGAGCTAACGAATACATGCTGAATCGGCGGTATCGGAATATGAAATTATTTAATAAAAACTATTTTTTTTTTTTGAGAACTGTTCTTTTTATCGATAAGATTTTTTATTTTGACTTAAAATATTAAAGTTGCCCATAAATGTTATTGTTATATCTATTGATGTAAGGAAAGCTTTTGTAGGAGTGAGAGCTGGCTGAGTTTACAGAATACTTGCAAAGACGTACAAAATATGTAGAAATAAATAATGCCTTCGGTGATCTAGATGATGTGATGTCCCGCAAGGAACAATTCTAGTCCCAACTCTGTTTTTGTTATATCTATTTTGTAAGCTTATAGATAAAATGAATAATTACGGTATTCGAGGAGTATGAGACCTCTTTAAACATTATCTATCAAACAGAAGACAAACAATTAAAATAGGGGAGGTATTGAGCTCCGAATCAGTGGTTAAGATAAATGTACTATTAAGTCCGGTTTTATTTCTAATATATATATATATATATATATATATATATATATATATATATATATATATATATATATATATATATATATATATATAAATAAATAATATTTTTAACATAAAAAATGTCAAAGGAAAATTAGCTTGCTATGCTGATGATACAGCACTTATCATTACTGGGAAAACTTGGAATGAAGTCCAATCTACTACAGAAACATGTTTAAAAAATTTAAAAAAATGGTTAAATCATAATTTATTCAGTTTAAATATAGGAAAAACAAAATATATAACTTTCTCTCCTACAGTAACGGATCAGCCCATATTTAATCTCAAACTACATAAATCTACGTGTGATACAAATATTCCTGTCCTGTATTAGAAAAAACAACAGTGATCAAATCCTTAGGAATCATGTTTGACCAGCATACCAGATGGAATGAACAAGTAACATATCTCACCAAACGAATAAGAGCTCTAATGCACACATTTTATATTATCAGAGATATCTTAACCACAAAAAACTTAATTATGTTGTATAATTCCCTAATAGAATCTAGGCTTGGGTATTGTATTACTAGCTGGGGAGGTACTTTTACCACAACATTGCAAAATTTACAAACCACACAATATACGCTTCTAAAAATAATACTTCATAAAACTACACTATTTTCAACTGGAGAACTTTATCAAGAAACAAAATTATTTATTAACAGACAGACATATTCGTATTAATGTCTCTTAAGAAAAAGCACAGTTCCCAAAAAACTTTCAAATACTACAGATATAACTAACCTAAATTTAAACATTCATCTGTTTAATAAATCGGTAACACAAAGAAGATGTTTTTCCTATGGTCCGAAGCTTTTTAACCGGCTTCCTATAAATATAAAAAAATTCCAAACCAATTAAATTTAAAACGGAAGTTAAAAAGCTAATTCTAAAAAACCCTGATATTTTCAAAATCTTTTAATGCCTCC